TCTATTCTACAATAAAATAGCTCCAAAAAAACCGGAAAGGGGAAGAGACCTGGAAAGGGTGGGAATCGTTTCTGGAAGAGCATTGGATTAGGATTCAAGACGCCAAGGGAAGCCACTGAAGGTTCTGTTCTTTACTATGATTACATTGTGTTTGTTGGCTTGCTTTATACGAACGTGTTTAGTCGCCCTTTTAACTTACTGCATATCTTGAGTGTCAAAACATTTGAAGCCAAGCTTATTGTTTATCCTTAACTGGTTGTTTTCTTTAAACAACTTTCACCATGTACTTTAATCACCAATTAATAAAACTGTGCGCTTTAATCACTATTTATCTGGGACATCGTTGATATCATACTCTTTGTTGTAATTTATGACAATTATTTCTTATAAACATGATGAACTGGAGCCACATCCTTGTTCCAAAAAAGTTCTGAAATGCTGTAGGAAGAATGCTTATCAAAATGCTATTTGTTTGACTGCTGAGAGGATAGAACTCTGATAAAGGACATATTGAATAAACATTATGAGCTGAAGGGATAGTAATATTAGGGATCCTCTTTCCTCCTCCCTTTTATTAACCTCTACTAATAGAATAGGTGGTTGTTGTCTGCATAGGTACAATGATACCCATAACTATACCTATAATATGGATGGATAGTTGATGGAGTCAGAGAAAACTTTTGTGGATAAAGGCATTTTACTATTTTCTATTTCTCAACGAGAGATTAAAATTGAATATAAAAGTGATGAATCCTTATCCTGTTTCTATTGTTATGGGCTTCTTGTCCCTAAGGCCTCTAGGTTCTATTGTTTTGTTGGATTTTACTCACTGTCTTTGTTTCTTGCCAAACAATAGAGGAAAGAATGCTAAAGCCCTAAAGCAGCCTCATTTACCCTATGTACTGTATGCATCGTTGTGTCTAAACTTTAAGGTCCAATATTTAAGCATATCCTGCTCTCATGTTCATTGATTTCCTGCAGAAAATTAGAATGTTTTTTTACTTATTTAGCATTCCAATTCTGTTGTTTTCATGCAGGAACATACATTGATAAGAAATGCCCCTTCACTGGAACTGTTTCTATTAGGGGCCGTATTTTAGCTGGAACTTGTCATAGTGCTAAGATGGTCAGGACCATTATTGTCAGGAGGAACTATCTACACTATGTTAAGAAGTATCAGAGGTACCTTTCTCACTTCCCCCTACTACTGCCTACACTCCATATTTCTCTTCGCAAAAGAACATATAACATCATGGTTCTCTGACTTCTTTTGTTCATTCTGTCTCCTTCAGGTATGAGAAAAGGCACTCCAATATTCCTGCTCACATATCTCCTTGCTTCCGTGTCAAGGAGGGCGATCATGTTATTATTGGCCAATGCAGGTACATCAAGATATGAATAATTCTCCACCTTGATTATTGTTGTGATAGTTTTTGGATTTTAAGAAAACTTGTGTCATATTTTATCATTCAAATTTCAGGCCATTGTCAAAGACAGTGAGGTTCAATGTGTTAAAGGTCATTCCTGCTGGATCCTCAAGTCGTGGGAAGAAGGCTTTTGCTGGAATTTAAATCATGTAGGGTTTCGCTTTTGATAAAAAAACTGCATGAAAGAACTTTCGAGTTTTAGGCCATATTTGTGATGCAAGAGGGTTTTGAAGACTTACAGCCTGGATTTTGATATGAATATGGACTGTTTTATTCTGTTCTATTTGTTTTAATTTCTTGGTCTTAATTTTAGCAGATTTGGGGTTTTGAAGGGTACCAAATTCTCTTGTTGTCTTATAGGTATTCTAATACATGTCAGTTTTATAATATGAGATTTTCTTTGCACTGTGTTAATGCAGCATTTTAAAGTTGTTTCCTTAGAACAAGAAATATGTTTATGGACATCCCAATTTCTTACATACCATAAGGGTCAATATTTGATCCATCAAGTTGTGTTTTAGGTTTATTCTAAACTGTTATTATAGTCAGAAAATGGAGCGACTTGATTCATTGATCAGATCCTGTAGAGAGTCTTGATCTGCAGAATAGATCCAACCTTACATATTTGACTTAGCTGCCTTAGCTTTCAATAGAGAAACATTTTGCACTGTCAAGGCCCACCAAATTGCTTATTTGGGGAGCTGATTTGTTGGCATCACCCCATGAAAAAGGTGGCTCTTGTTGGATTAGAGGGGCAAAAGAGGCATCTTTCATAGGTTGGCTTGTCTATAAAAAGAGTTGCTGATTGGCATCCAAGGCATGGCTGGAATCCTAAGCTTTGTTTTATGCCCCATATCATCATCTGGTTGTGGCTGTAGATTCTTTTAATTATCAATGACTTTATAAACATCTCAATCTCTTTCCTAGTCTTGGTGCCTATTGCACCTGTTACATGGGACTGCTTCTAGATTGTAATTGTAGACAAGAGGGAGACAGAACAACCTATTTTGTTGCCTCTTGAACTATTACATGTGATTGCTACTAGATTGTAATATTGGGTTTTTTTAATTATACTTTTTTTTTGTGGTGTGTGAGTGAAGATATTTAAAGTTTTAAATGGAAAAGTGATGAGATTGTTTAATATGCTTGTTTGGCTACTATGATGGTCACCTATCAAATTAATAATTTCTATATGTTTTCCGGCACTAAATGTTGCAGGGTCAGACTGTTGTCCTATGAGATTAGTTGAGGTGCGTATAAGTTAGCTCGGATATCAATAAATATATATATATATATTCTTTGGCTAAATTTAAAAAACAAACACATTTTTTAAAATTGCTTTTGTGGTTTTTTAAAATTGATTTTGAGAATATATAGATTACAAAATAGTTATCAAATGAGGTGATCTGTTTTCTTGTTGATCAAGATGTTAAAAAGAGAGTGATAAAATATGTAAATGGTGGAAACATGAGAGGGCAAAAGCTAATACCTACAAAAGAAGTTGTAAACAGTGGGAAGGAGAGGAGGAAAGATCCAAAGTTCAATCACCTTGAGAAATAGAAAGAAATTGCAAAATGGAATGTTTATGCTCGAAGAAACTCATGAGGTAAATATAAAAAGAGGAAGCAACAGAAATAACGCTATCTAAACAAAATTGGGTTTAGGTATCTTAATCAGTTACTTGAGTTATGTTCGAGTTGATCCTAATCCTGTGCCAATTAAATCTTAAATCATCCACTATTTAAAGATTTGGAAAAATAGATTATAGATAAAAATCTCAAAACCCTTAAAAATATTTACTCATGACAAGAATTTGTCCAACTAAAAGCACAAGAATTTGGATTATTCATGTGTAAGTTTTCGTAAATTCAAATTTGCCAACCCCAAATATTAGGTAAACTGAGTGTTTGATATTCATTAATAGTGAAAGCAAAACGGGACCACAAACCCATGTTATTATTGGACATTGACATCTTAAACCGACAAAAAAGTAAACCATATAAATATATTTTAATTTAATTTCTTCCATTTAAAATACTTTATTAGACAAAATTTCATTAATAAATATAATAATCTAACTTCATACTATATTTATCAAATTTCATTCTAGAAAGAGAGACTGTTTTGAAAGCAAAGCTGCAAAAGAGAGAACCAATATGAAAAAAGTCATTTTCATACATCATTTTCCAATGGAATTCTCTCTTTAATTTTCAATCCAACCTACCATTTACCCCAAACCTTCATTATCATCTCTTTTTGTCACAATTATATTTATTGCCATTAATTTAAACCCACCGACTTAATGAGTAATGGTAAAAGACAAATATTAATACAATAATATTATTAATAATTAATTAATTGTAATATAAACTTTTTTTCGCAGGCACACAACTTGTTCTTTGGCATATTAGGCCATTTTTCCCTTTTTTGGGAGCTTAAAAAAAATTAAAAAAAATTACTTTAAATTACAAAGAAAAGTTGAGGCTAGTGTTTGTGTTGCGTGGCCCTATATGACAAAATGCTTGTATTTGAAGTGTGAACAGAATCAAAATGGTATAGTTTTCTAAATTTAAGAATATTTGACCTTTCAATTTAATCATTACTCCTTATAATAATTTCAAAAATATCTACTTTCATTTGATAAAAGTGATGCGCTTACTTTTTGAAATATCTTTTGCATAAACATAGATTTTTTTCATTCTCATGGTTAAATTATAAATTTAGTTCATGTAATTTAAAAACTCATTATCTATTTAGTCACCATATTTTTTTAAAAAATTATATTATACTTTTGGATTGGATGTTAACACTATTAAGAATGATTTTGGGATGACTTATTTTTTAAACAAAAAATATTTCTTTTGTAACATGTTTGGAATAAACACAAGTTATATTTTTTTTCTAAAAATACTTTCATAATTTTTTAATGGTTTTAAAATTTTTAAACATATTTTTGATTATCTAATCAAACATTATGAAAATTTTGAAAAATATTTTTTAATGGGTTAAAAACAACTTTTTATACGTTTAAAAATAATTCCAAGCTCACTATTTTTTTAATGTGTTAAAAACAACTTTTTATACTTCTAGAAATGATTAATGTGATATATGAGGAGAAGTTAGGAGGAAATTTTTGCTCATGTAATATTAATTCATTTTGTTTACCCTATAAATTATCTTCATAAATAACTCTTTAACATTGTTAGATGTCTGGGCCTTGTATCATTCTTAAAACACATTAACGTGTGACAATGAATAAAAGTGGTATCTATGTTACTGACTAACGTCCCGTTTGATAACTATTTTTGTTTTTTGTTTTCTATTTTTTAAAAAACAAAAACAATATATGTTTAATAACTATTAGAAAATTCTATGTAGAGTAGAGATGACAATGATGTGGATGCGAATGAGGATGCTATCGTCCAATCTCGTGGACGTAAAAATTTTGTATCCCCGTCTCTATCTCGTTATTCGGTCTGAGAGATGTTATCGAGAAAATTTATTGGTTTTATTATAATTGTTTTTAATTATTTTTAGAATTAAAAAACGTAATAAATATATATTAATTTTCAAAATTTCAAATAAGAAGAGAAAATAATACATGTTTTCTTTTATAAATATTAATAATAATTTTGTAAATAATAAGTTGTTTCCTTATAAAAATAAATTTTGTTGGTGATTGCTACTCCTTGAAATATTATATATAATTGAAAAGAAAAAGAATGTGTGAATTAGGTTCTCTAGAGTCTCTTGTCATGTAAAGTTAGCTATCCCCATGAATGCCTACATTTAGGGATGGAATACCTACCATTCATCTCATATAGAGAGAGTGAAAAAAAGAGAAGTGCAAATTAACGTGAGTATGATCCTAAAATCTTTGGTGTCACAGAAATATGGATACTCTTTTCATTACAATAATTTTTTCCGCTCCTCAAAAGTTCACAGGAAAAATGGAGTTGATGCTCTCATATCCATAGCATGAGTAGTTAAAGTTACAAGTGAATGATTTGAAATTCAAGTTATTTCACGGAATAATACTCGTATATATTTGAGCTCGTAACAATACTTCGCAATTAAAAGTCTCTATAGAAGCGTGTTTTAGGCATCGTACAAATATAGATAGGATTAATGACGGAACGAATAATAAAATTTTAGCATAGCTTTTCATACACGTTCACTTGCATCACATATACACCACATATACACCAGTATTCTTTGAATTGTCTGCCATATCAAAATCATATTAAAGATTATGTAYGCCTCGTTAATATTTAATAATTTACTTATAAATACAATACTATAGTGTGAACAGATACAATATGTTACTCCATTCAAAAGGAGAGGGAGACGTGTAGAATTTAAAGGGAGTGTCCCTACATCTAATATTTATATTGATATTGCATTGTTTTATTTCTAGATTGATAACGAAAAAAAAAGAAAGGAAAAATGAGAAAAGAAAAAAAAAATGGAGAATTGTCATTTCCCAACTTCCATTGCTTGCTCCATTCATTATTCAAAGAATGTGAAACATGCAGTTCAAATAATTAATGACCCCACCATTAATAAACTCAAAGTCAATGTATAACCACACATTTAGAGATTCTCTCAATTTTATTTGTTCAATTGTTTCCTCAGAGGATAAAAATCTGTCATTTTAATTGCTTGTGTTGTAAATTTTTCATTGTTATCCTCAGTTAGCAACCAGCAGTCGTTTTTTAGTGAGAGAGAAAACAAATTGACTCCAAATGACTCAACTTTATCTGCCCAAGAAGTTTTCAGAAATAAGAAACGAAGGGTAATTTTCTTAGAAGGGAAAGGTGGAAAATTGGGATGTAAAGTTTGGTAATTTAAATGTGGGTAGTTGAAAAGAAATTGAATTTGCAGACATTGAACATGTCCCAGTTCCAAGGAAATAAAAAGAAAACAAAAAGAAATGAGGAAAAGGATTCAGATTTCCCAATAATATATTTGTAAATTGGTGTGTATTGCCCCAAAACAAAACCAACCGATTTCCAGCCACGATTTTTCCAATAGAAAAATCTGGAATTGGATTAAATTAAACGCCTCTTCTTAATCTTGACTGGATTGCTCTGCTCCCTATATTTCTCGCTTTTTGGTTCTGTGTTTTCTTCCTCAAAACAGGGTTTTCTTTTTCATTTCTTTCCTTTCTCACTCTACCCAGTAGACATATTCTGAGAATCTTCTTCACCCTCCATTATTTTTCTCTGATTCTCTCTCTTTTCTCTCTCTAGCTTCTGTTTCTTTGGATACCCACCTACTGCAAGTTGAAGAAAAACTGAACCACCAACGTTTCCCCAACTTTTCCTCTTTATCGTCATGTGTGTGACGGAAGCAGAACAGGTTGGACCAGAGAGGGCAACTTCTGGGAGTAATAATACCAAGCCATGGCCTATGCATTGTGAATTTTTGCAGAATCAGATGGGAAATCGAGAGAAAGAGCCTGCTCTCTCTGGAACTAGCGACCGAAGCCGCTCTGGGAATTCTTTTCCTGTACGAATTTTGCATCCCTTTCGTAACCATTTCTAGGGTTTTCTCTTGTTTCTTTGAGGACTACTTTGTTGGATTCGTACTGGGTTTTCTGCTTTCTTGTGGGATGTTTGATAAAAATTAAGGAAAAAGGTTGTTTTGTTGTTCTTTCTTTTGTGGAATTCTCTGATGGGGTTCCATGAACTTGTTTGTTTTTTTCCTTTTTTTTTTTTTGCTCTTCTTAAATGAATTAGAATGTAGTTGATAATTCATGTATTTGGATTAATGATCTACTGGTGGTTTTCTTTTCATTCTTCTTGTGTTTTTGCTACTCTATAGGGTTTCTTCCTCACTAATTTCAGCTCTCTCTATGTTATTAGTTTGATCTGATGGTTGCTTCTCTGGTTCAAGCCAGTGTTGCTGCTTCCAAATCTGTTTGACATTGTTAAAATACATAATTCTTTTTTATTTTCTTTTTTTTTCCACTGTAATTGATTTGAAGGTACTAATGTTTCAGGAAAATAGCTATTTTTGTCGTTAATGTGCTTCTTAAAAGATTCTGATACTTTAGTCCTTTTGTGTTGTAATTGAGGTTCCATTGTCAATTCTAAAGTTTCTAGCATAAAGTTTCTTCTTTGCGTAGCTTGTACAATTCTTCCTTTTGTTTCTGGTCCCTTGTATGGACCAAAACAATATGGATAAATGAGGAAAACTAACAAGACCTGTTGTTTTCATGAACACTTTGATGATAATAGGATCTTTCTGTTCCTATAACCGTAAAGTTGAAAATTTTGGCTAAAATGTCTCTCTCTCTCGACTCAGAATTCACTGGTCTTGTATTCCATCCAAATTTTAGTGCCATGTACAATGGCGAAAGTCTTACTGGACTATGCCGACCTCGTAAATTGATCTAAAACGTCCCTGAAATTTAATCCCTCTGTGGCTCTTTTTTATAATAAGATGGGGTCTGTTTTAAGTTTGGTTCTTCATTAGTTGCTACTACAGCTCCATGAAGAGCTTTTGTTCTTTAAATTTTGCTGATGTGATTGTGTCTGAAAAAACTATGTCTTGCAGATAATGTCAATGAATCTATCTGACTGTTCGAAAACAACACTTCTTGGCATGAACTAAATAGTTTCTTCCAATTACTTCAAATATATGTGTTGGTTTCATACTCTTCCTGATTTGTTTTTTTTCCCATATTGTGGTTCATGTAGCTTGAAAGCATTTCTGAGGATGCTGCAGTTATAGACAGAAAAGAGAACACATCTACATTTGTCCCTGCACTTAGATCGGGAGAATGGTCTGATATCGGAAAGCGTCCTTATATGGAGGACACTCATGTATGCATTCATGACATGGCTAAGAATTTCGGCTGCACTTTTCTCAATGAGGATGCTGTCTCCTTCTATGGTGTAAGTTCACGTATTTATCTTTCTGTATCACCGTTACAGTTTAGATGAAATGAACTCATCTAAGGAAACTTTTGATGTTTTCTGAAGTTCATGCTCTGATTTGACAATTGTTTTTAAAAGTTAGGTAGTTGCATGTGTTAGTTATTTATTTGTAGCCAGAGGAAGCATTGGCTTGAGGGATACAGTAGTCTTTGTTGTTAATTCAGCTTGGAATAGAGGATAGAAGTTGTTTGAGTGTGTACAAATCATTTAGAATATGGGAAGTTTAGAATCTATGCCATATTTTTCTTCGATACTAAGAAGGAGTCATGCTCTTGGATTTCTTGGAAAGGCATTTGTTTTGACAGTTTGCCTCTTAACTATAAAACGAATTGCATTTGGTTAGACCGAGTTATTATTGGTACTGAACAACTTTGGGAAGATTAAACAATGGAGTTAATTGGAAGGGTATTGTTGCATGTAAAGAAGCTTCACTCCCCCTTCAAAGCCAAAAGTGTGGCAAGGTAATGGGCGCGTCCAATAGGCCTAATCAAGATGCTTAAAATTCTTCTCTAGCATAGTAAACAAAGTTGTTGGCCAAAGCAATCGTTCACTATCTCCAAATTGACACCAAACATTTTGAGACATGTTACCACTCACCCCAAATTTTCAAGCAAAGTGATACATAATATCCAAATATTTTGACACCTTCTTGCACTACACGTACCAATTGAGACCCAAAACCATATACAAGAATTTTCGGACAAGGTTTAGTAAAGCCTTTTACTTTTCTTTTTTAATCGAAAAGAAATCAAGCAGCCACCTTGAGGACGAGGTGATGTGCTCAGATGGGGAGCATTGGTGAGCCCTTAGTCTGTTTGACGTAGGCGAGACATGTGAAGAAGGAACAGATCAAGGAATATATGTGTTATCTACTTGTAGCCAATGTAAATTGCGCAAGTACGGAAGCATTGGCTTGAGGGGTTCAATATTCTTATTGGCTTGAGGGGTTCAATATTCTTATTGTCATCTGTTCAGTAAGGAATGAGGTGAGACGAGTCCTGAGATTGTGCATGGATGATGTAAATAGGGAGCAATACTTCAAAGAAACCTCGATTTGGCTCGTATGATGGAGTGAACCAGGCTCTCAGATTTCTTGGTAGACCTCGTTTGGGAAGCTCATCTTTAGCTATATAAAAAAAGTAGAACTTGTTCTATCACTTCTTGTTCGTCTGTATTTGTACCAAAGAGGGTGCTGGCACCTTAGGAGATCGTCGTATTAAGCCCCTCCCACTCTTGGGAGTGGTTTTTTAACTGAATCATTTATCGAGGTTTGATTTTGGCTCGATGCATTGATCAAAATAATGAAGTAGAAGCTTTTGATTTTTAGCTTATCATTAATAAATGGTTATGTTCTAATAAACAGGTATTTGATGGCCATGGCGGAAAAGGCGCTGCACAATTTGTTCGTGATCACTTGCCGAGAGTCATTGTCGAAGATTCCGACTTTCCTTTAGAGCTTGAAAAGGTGGTTACAAGGTCATTTATGGAGACTGATGCAGCTTTTGCTAGATCTTGCAATCTTGAGACATCTCTATCATCTGGCACAACTGCACTTACTGCAATGATATTTGGAAGGTAATCACTTTACTTTTGCTTCCAATTTCTTAAAATTTGAACTTCATGGCTACAGCATTGATTTCAAGGCTCTGTTTCTTCTTGCTAAATGTGCTAGTTATTGTACTGTTCATGGATTTTTAGTTTCTTTTGGGCACTCTCCTTGGGTACAAAGATTTTGATCTTCTGGTTTCTGTAAATATTACCATTTCGAGCAGGTCTTTGCTCGTAGCAAACGCTGGTGATTGCCGAGCAGTATTGTCAAGACAAGGCTGTGCAATTGAAATGTCTAAAGACCACAGGCCATGCTGCACAAAAGAAAAAAAGCGAATCGAGGCTTTGGGCGGATTCATCGACAACGATTATTATCTAAACGGCCTGCTCGGGGTCACACGTGCAATAGGAGATTGGCATCTTGAAGGAATGAAGGAAATGAGCGAAAGAGGTGGACCATTAAGCGCTGAACCCGAACTCAGATTAATGACATTGACGAAGGAGGACGAGTTCTTGATCATAGGCAGCGATGGAATGTGGGACGTCTTCATGAACCAAAACGCGGTCGACTTTGCTCGGAGGAGGCTCCAAGAGCACAATGATGTGAAAGTATGCTGCAAGGAAATGGTAGAGGAAGCCATAAAGAGGGGAGCAACAGACAATTTGACAGTAGTTTTGGTAAGCTTCCACTTGGAGCCACCTCAACCAGTAGTTTTTCAGAGGCCAAGATTTAGAAGAAGCATTTCTGCAGAGGGGCTTCAGAACCTCAAATTTCTGCTAGAAGGATAGAGAATTGAGACATTCTTTGTTGTTAATTGGCCAAAGGTTTGATACTAAACCAATGGGATTAGAGTTTGTGGTTTGTGTACACAAATGTATTTTCATGGGGTAAAAGTTTCAGCTCTTCCTTGTCTCATTTTGGTGCCTCATGAAACAAAAGGGAAAGTAGGATCTTAAACAAAAATTTTTGGAAATGTATAATTACACTTTCTTTTCTTCTGATTGTCTTCTTTGGTCAATGATGGAGAATTATACCAAAATTGAAAGGGAAGTATCATTGTGTATATTGTCTCTACTTTGTAAATAAAACTGTCATATTTGTTTACTGTTCATTCATCCTTACCTTTTTTTTTTCTTTACATTTGTTTTAATTAAAAAGTACATTTATTTAAATTTTAATTTGTAATGATTTAGTCTATATACTTTCAAATTAGTTTTTATAGTTCAAAATTTATAATAATTTAGTCCCTATCGTAAAAAATTTCATAAATCGTATAGCAATTTAGTCTGTGTAATTTATAAACATATTTGATTCCTCGTCAAATCGATCTACATGTATAAGAAACTTATCAATAATTTTTACAATAGAAACTAACTCCTCTCAAACTTTAAACTATAGAGATTAAATTGTTACATACTAACGTTTTGGAACTAAATTATTATCAATTTGAAAATATAAAGATTGAATCGTTACAAACTAAAGTCTAGAGACTAAATTGTTACTTCAATGAGAGTACAGAGACTCAAAGCATTTTTCTTTTGAGTTTAACATGTTCGGGTAGATATTTGAACCATAGATCCTTTTGTGGAATACATATAATATATATCTTGAACAATTGAACTATATTTCCTTGACTTGTCTACGTATATAAGAAATAAAATTTCTGATGTTGTACGTTACTACCATTGTTTTTAAATTGAAATAAAACAGATTTTTAGAATGATTTTTATTTACTAAAATTCCACACACTTCAATCTTCTCTTGTCCATTCTTTCCGATCATTTCCATACTGATATAATTGGCAAAATCAACTATTGCCAAAATCAATCAATAAGTTCATCGTTACAGTCAATTTTCAATTTTTTTGAAGAAACCAAATTGACATTGGGTTTATACAGACCAAACCCGATGTCGAAAAACCGACCCAAATCAAATCGCTTTCACCAGTCAAAATATGATCCTTCATATTTTCAAGAGGAATCTCTCAATATCAAAAATCTGATTTTTGATTGGATGTAAGATTCACAGGTCATGAATCATATCACTAACTTATCTTCAAGAATTCCTTTGCAAAAAAAAAACTTATCTTCAAGAATAAGGAAGATTAGTTCTCATTCTTTCCTTTCAACTGCAACTTGTTTCCTGATTTCGCATTACAAGGTTATCAATGTAAAAATTCCTAAAACATGGACATGTATTCAGCTTCAACATCCCCTAGAAATTAGCAAATCTCAGCCCTGCCTCCCTCCTAATATAAATGAGGGGTGTTTCAAGGGAGGATGGTGGAGAAAAAGTGAAGAGAAAAAACTATGGTACAAGTACAACACTTCGGTTCACCAACAAATCAGGCAAACAACCAAAACTACAACTGGGACAATATTCTTTGACTGCATCAACCAACCTGAGCTTCAATTACATCATTTGTTGATGAAGATCGGCCGCTTGCTGAGCCAACTCAACCATCATGGCCTCGTCGAAGAATTTGTTTATGCTTACATCCTCGCTCATTCCCTGTATATCCCAGTACAGTTGACATATTAAGCACAGAAGTCAGTTTTTTCTTTTTTAATGTTATACAAAATTTTCCATTATGATGAGCAAGACAGTAGGGGGGAAAAAAAAGTTCGGTTCTCTGAGGCGCAATGAAGTCAGGCAAAGATTCATTAATTGGAGAACATGTATGCCTTTATCATCAACACATCTGATAAATTTGATTTTTTTGGTCAAGACTTGATATATAACCAACACAATTTTTTTCCACGGAATTTTATGAAATATGATGCATCTTCTTCAATGATACATCTTTCTAGACAATGACGCGAAAAAAAGAAATTCAAAAAATAAAACCGTGGCGTTAGAACTATCTTCAGGCAATAATTCCAAAAGCAACATGAACTTCAATTTTTTTTTAATATCCGTGAGTGTCGGGTCCAGCTTATGTGCACCTTGACTAATCTCACGGGACAACTACTTGACCCTACTACATCTGGTTGTCGAGAAAACATGTAAAATATTAAATCCTACGTGGTGGCCACCATGAGGTTTAAACTCATTCCAATTCTTTTTGAATTTCCTTGGCCCCTTTGGATCAATGGGCCAACCCATGAGGATTATGAACTTAAAGTTTTGGAGTTCGTTGATTGTGCAAAGAGCTACTAAATATAGATATGCAAAATAAGATATCAGGTCTTACCTTTCTACGCCTTGTCTTCACCATGAATTCACGAGCAAGATGTTGAATCGGTGCTGGCTCGAGAGGCCGTAAAACAATGCTCTTGTCAAGTGGATCACCAGGAACGATGGCCCAATGGTCAAACACAGAGAGACAGAAAGCTTGGCCTTGCGTATGATACCGCAAGTCCGTCTCAAAGCCAAAAGATTCTATAACAGGTAAAAATGCCTGAAAAGTAGTAAGAGATAAAAATAAGCGATCGAGTACATCTTATTACATCGTATCTTATATACTAAAATTTACTCGTGAAAATAAAACCCCACTGTCCATCTAATGTCTATGACAGGTAAATGAACAAAGGTGTCTTGACCATAGAGAGCAATTATTATTGTTCGGTGATTTCACTTAATGCAGCAGTTGCATTACAGACTACAGTACAGTTAAGACGAAGAAATCCAACATGTTTAAGGTAATTATAAAAATCCTTGAGATAAGAGGAAGTAATTTTAGTCTCTAAACCTTGACGATGTAAGATGGAGTCCCTGGTTGAGCAACATCAGCAGTAACATGTCCACGCCTTCGAGATAGGACAGTATAGATTGCAGAGACACAATCAATCGGTGTTTGTATCTGCAACAAAATAATAAAATATTTACTCAAAACATCAATAGAAGTTTTACGGCTAATGTTGATATAAAAGGTTTACATTTGGCTATTAATTTAGAAGTATATTTTTAAAAGTCAAAGTATTTTTTAAAAAGCTAGTAATAATATGTATCTTTAATCTAGCCTCCAAGGTGCGACCTGTTGGAAGGAATTAGGATTTTTTTATCATACCAATTTAGAGGTCCCAAGTTTAAACCTTTGGGTGAGTTTAATACCATGTCTCTTGCATCTGGACCTTGAGCCAAGCGTCGGTGCCTCAGGTATAGGGGAGCAAAATTCCGACTCTCGGTTATCAAAAGAAAAATATACATATATGTATCTTTAATCTCTCACAATAAATACTATACTAACCTCTGCTTTCTAGACAGTAGACACTCTAACTTCTTTGTACACATTTTATTTCACCAACCTTTTTCTATTACAAGATACTGGATTAAAGTTTTCAATTACTAGAATCAAATAACAAGTACTTCACTTTTTATTGAAGTTTCAATACAAGATTTATCTCAAACGCACCCAAAACACACACTAAGAAGGCCGGTCCTCATCTCCAATGAATAGGAAAAGAAAAAGAAATATACACCCATTGTTTGGTGGTATAAAAGAAGATTTACCTCGATGTAGTATACTGGTTCCATAAGCCGTGGGGTTGCCATAAGAAAAGATGAATAGGCCACACGTCGAGCTGTGGGAATGATCTGACCAGACCCACGATGCAATGGCTCAGGTGCAATTCTTGCATCTACAATTTTGAACTTTACATTTCTAATGGGTTCATCACAAAGTGGTCCTTCTCTAGCACCCCATTGAAACCTGTTTAATATATATATATTTTTTACATGAGATGACAAAGAGCTAGTAAAGAAAAGGCTCAGCCTCCCGGACCAAACAAAAATAGAGAGAGACATCAAGATAGTTTTACCCTTGGACGATGGAATCCTTGACGGCATTCAACAAATTCTTGTCTACCTCAGAAGAGAGTGTGTCATCTAATAGAATGTTAGGTCCCTGAAATTTCATTTGAAGTTTTAACACCAAGAAAAAGTTGAAGTGATTCACATACTGGCTATCATATTTTTAAATATTTATATTGCAGAACATGTTAGCCTGTGGGGGGCAGAAATAAATTTCATCCTATGACAACTTGATTGAACCCAAAATCCTTTACAATTACGCTTGTTGGAGTTATCACGTGCCAAGTTCCAGAAATATGACTAAAAGGACAAGTATGGAAAATGATACTTAAAATAAATTTAATCTGCAGTTACTTGTAAAAGTGAAAGTTTCACCCTCCTATAAATAAGCATCGACTTATGAGCACGTTTAAAGGATCTTATATATTTGAGTAGCTACAAAAATACCTGCTTATCTGGGCCAAATGCCCATATGGATCTTGCAGCAAGCAAATCCCACTCATACTTTGTCTGGAAGAAATCTCCGAGTTTCTTTCTAGACCAATCAAGGCTTACTACACCATTCTCAATGTCTTCAGCAAGACCTCTCTCCAATGGCTCGGCAATCTTAAAAAAGAAATATTTTCTAATTACCACATTACATTCCATGAATTTAATAATTCCAGAATTAACAAGAACAGTGTAGAGAGAGAGGAATAAACAAAAACAGAAAATTTTTAAAATTCCTACCATGGTTATTTTATTCTTCTTGTTAGGAGTCTCAGCAAAGCATTTCATTGAGGAAGACTCTACAACTGTTTCACAAAATGAGACAACAGGATCGGCTACCTATATAATGAGAAACATAAAGGGAAATGATATCCATCAGACAAGAACAAAGAGAGAAAACGTGGAACAACAAGATATGAACAATTGAGTAAAAAGATACCTTGACTTCTACTTCAGAATAGAGCTCTCTAAGATCCTTCATAATTGAATCCAAGTACAGCTCTCCAGTACCTAAAATGGTATGCTCACCAGATTCCTCAACTTTGGTGATTGCCAGAGGATAGCTTTTGCTGATCTTCCGAAGACCCTCCACCATCTTTGGTAACTCACTTGGATTTAGAGGCTCTGTAGCTGTTTTCACCACTGGAAGAGTATTGAATTGAAGTGGTCGGAAAATGTAGACATCCTCATCATAATCTACATTAGACAGAGTTGCAGTTTTCATAATAGATGCATCCACTCCTTCAATGAGAACCCAAGATCCCGGAGGAGCCTCCGCAACGGGAACCCTGTCTCGAGCTTGGTAAAGCCATAGTTTTGTCACTTCCTTTATGGTCATATCTTCCTCATCCTCTGGTGAATAGCCTTCACCCAACACCCGTACCGCCTGTCCTGTTTGAATCTTACCACTATAAACCCTTCCAAACGCATCAAAAACACTGCAGTCTGACTTGGGATACAGTTTAGTCACATTCACCATTAAAGGCCCAGAAGGATCACACTCTTTCATTGCTTTGTAAATCACAGAGTCTTTAGGCCCAGTATAAATTTGATCAACCTTCCGAGAAGAAGCATCTCTGGGAGAAGGTATGTGCTTAACAAGCATGTCAGTGAATCCTGAAGCTCCACCGAAAACTGAACTACAAGCCAGTCTCAGCAATGGCCTGACATTCAACTTGTAAGCTGCATTGCTAAGAGTAACGCCAAGCTCTGCAAGAGTTGTCTCAACACTTTTCCTATGTTCGCCAATAACCTGACTATATATTTTGTATAGCGGCTCTAGTACAAATTGGACAAATGACCTTTCCCCTCCACTTGCAGGCTGTTTTTTCTTAAAACCTCGGCTATCAGAATGATAATAATAATCTCCCCAAAGACGAGATGCAAACCTATCAGCATCAAATGGGATTCCATGGAGTTTCACATATAATTTTGCAAATGATTGCAAAGTAAACGACCATCCTGCTGTAGCACTTGCAAAACACACATTTCCAGCTGCTGGGTCGATAACTTGGACATTTCCAGCAGTAGACGAAGCAGCAGTTATATGGTTATTAATAACCTCTAGCGTATGCCTTAATTTATAGTAAGCATCCCTTGGGGGCAATTTGAGCTCTGTAATCAACCTGTCAACCTAGATACAAATTCTGTATTAGTATAAAATAAATATGTGGTGTCTGCAGGGATCCAGCTTTGAAAAATCTGATCAGAACATAAAAGGAATCCAATAGGCTAACCTTATTAATTACAACAACAATGGGCAATCGCTCTTGAATTGCATGGCGTATAGCCCTCTCTGTATTGACCTGTACATTGCAGAGTACATCCTAATTAGTACATTTAAGCATTTATCCCATTTTTACCACCCTCTCCAACAGATGAGAGAAGAATATCGGTAATTCGACAATATTAATAAAAACTCCAGGGGAGGCAGATGGAACAATCTATATTCTTTATATGGTTAAATTCTCCAGTAAAATGATTGCCCCAACCCATAATCTACGCAAAGAGCATTAACCATTTCCTCTTCCACTGATGCAAAAATGAGGTGCTCCAGGCCAAAGTCAAAAACAAATTTGAAATAAACTTTCTGTTTAAACCACCAAACTAAGAAGACAAAAAGAAGTCTGCTAGCTCATTGGCAACTATTGATTATGTGAAGAATATAAAAGTTTTCATATAAAGCTGCACAAAAGAAGAAAAAAAAATCAAGACTGATTTACTAACCATTACTCCCTCAGCAGCATCTACAATCAATACTGCACCATCAGCAAGCCTAAGAGCAGCAGTCATTTCATCAGAAAAATTTGTATGGCCAGGGGTGTCCATTATATTGCAAAGGTATGATTTCGAATTGCCATCCTCGAGCACTAGTGACATAGGAACTGCCTTAATCGATATTCCTCTCTCCTGCTCATCAATCCTCGTATCCGTGTACCTCAGATGTTTCTCTCCTTTAATATCGAATGTTGACATGTGATGTGTTTGCTCGACCAACATATCCATGAAGACAGTCTTTCCATGATGCAAGTGGCCTACAAGTGCAACGTTGCGGACCAAAGATGGATTGGACATGAGACCTACCAGAAATTGGTTTGAAACATACGTCCTAGAATCTTTCACCCCAACCTCAAACTTTATATTTCTAACAGGCTTAATAATTGGTTGTTCTAGAGGTAGTTCATCTTCATCCATAACCAATGTTTCAACATCATCGCCATAAACCTCTTCTGCAGTTGGATAATACTTTTTGTCCTCAGCAAGGACAATCTGGTTGTCCATACCAACATCATTAGACGTTGTAATCCAACCATTTGAAGCACCAATTACATCTTCACCATCTGATGCACCTTCATCTTTGTCAGGCTTCTCCATAAGGTCTTCATCTTCATCTTCTATGTCACTATCCTTGTCCGACTCAATTTCTGGTCCTATGTAGTTTCCAAATTCATCATACAAGCTATCATCCATGCTTAGTATTCTCGAAGTCAAAGCTGAAATTTTACATAAGAAAGTAGTTTAATATTCCAATAATGCAGTCACCACACAGGCTGGGATTTATATATTAACTTTTTACATTTAAAAAGTAAATTATCAAGAAGCACACAACTTTCCTTTTTTTTAGATATGAGAAACACTTTTCATGGATATGGTGAAATCATGTAACACAATATTAATCAGGCTGAAGTTACATACAACAACCCACACCACTTTAATATTAACTACACTGTGAGTAATAGTATAGCTGCTAAAGGCACAAGTTAAGAAGCACAGATAAGGACACGGACACGATAGGACATGGCGATACGTCAATTCCTAAAAAATTAGGACATGGACACATTGGGGATACGTTAATTTTTTTTTTAATATTTTTTTAGGATGTATGTAAATTTAACACAAAAAATGCTAAATACAATAAAATAAAATGCATAAATATGAAGTCAATTACATCCTTCAAACAAAGTTACAAAACAAAGCTCGACCAATACAGTGACAAAACAAAGAAGGGACGTAAAAGAGGATTGTTTTTATTAGAGTTTACCTCA